GGGGGGGGGGGGGGGGGTGGTCAACGGGGTGACTGGTGCTCCAGTGCAAACTCCCCAGTGCTGGTGGGGGCCCTGAGCTTCAGGGCCCAGATTCAGGCAAGCTGAGGGCCGCATCCAGCCTCCCAGGCCTGAGGTTCCCCACCCCTGTTCTACAGAAAGCTAGGATACGTGGTTTCCCAAACCAGTCTTTGGGGCTGTATCAATTTAGTCAGGGAGATTCAGTGTCCTGATATTTACAGGTCTCAAAATAACTTCTGGAGCCCATGAAATATTACATCGCAGCATTTTTTCTGTTTAAATGCTATGATGTTCATAAGAGGATGGGCTTTTCTGCAACAGAATTAATTTGCCATGTTAACACATTGACTTAGTACAATAACAAAGTGATACATGAGCATTATTGGAGATGCTTTCTTTCACATGAAGAATAAACCTGAACTCACTCTAGGTACAAATGTCTAATCAAACTAGAAAAGTACTATATATAACTTTACGCAGGAACATTTCATTGCCCTTACCGGACTTGCAACTGTCCACTAAGTCATCTTCCAGGACAACTGCCATAGAACGTGGGATGCTTCCAACGGGTAACCTTTGAACCTAGCAGACAGGAAGACAACGGGTATGCATTTTTTACAGGGAGGTGCCATACAACAACCACATGCTATTGCTTTGGTTTGCAAAGCAGCAAAAGCACACCAGTTTGGTTTGCAACAGAACCATTATTCTGCACACCAAAGACCTATTCTTCATTCCTTATAAAGGAGTATATCCTTAGTTTCTCGCACAAAACTCAGACAATGAACATGTTGCTACTCTCATTAAGTTGGGAATCTTGCCACTGACATCAATGAAAGCAGAATTGAACCTTAAATTATCTCCAGGTGCCATATTCAGAAGGTGCTGAGCAACTTAAAAAAAAATGCTGTAAAAAAAATGAACACTTTTGCTATTATTGAAAATTACTTCAGGCAGGATTTCAATAAACAAAGGTTACTGCAGGCACTGATGTTTGCTTTAAAATTAAACAGTTCTTCATAATTGTATATATTGGAAGATGCCACCGCAGTACAGGTATTTAAACAAGATTTGACAGGTAAGGAAAGAAGCTTACACTTAAATCCCAAAGACTAAACCAACAGCAGGGGAAAAACGAATCAAACATGATCAGGAGAATATGTATTGACAGGTACGTCAGTAATTATTGCATTTCTCTTTTCCTTTAAGGCAAAGTCTATGCAATCTTGTCACAAGCGATTTCCATCTAAAGCATTTTTCTAGTTACTCACAAAAACCTGCCATAATTGTTAAATTGTGCACTGCAGACAGAACAGCAATGAGAAGTGCTTTCTTCTTTTGTCTAAAATGTTTATCCATATTAGAATTATAGATTAATTCATTCTCCAGTGCCTAAACACTGTTTCTATGTTTTTGTCTAATATTTGATTTCTATAAACATCTTTGTGGCTATTGGTGGCAGGTACATTAGTTACTGGCATCACTGAACAGGGCAGATCATATACACAGAGTCACATTATTCCCTAGTGTAACTCCCTTAATATTAGTAGGTTCATATTATTGATGAAATTATCCCATGGTTCAGATATTTGGAACACAGCAAAAGAAAAAAATTATAGTTCTAAAAAATCCTAAAAATCTGAATAAGCGTAAAGTGAATACGCGACATAAGGAATGCACTATCAGAAATACTTTAACTTCTTCTGTAATTAAATGTCTTGATTTTGTTAAAATATTTTTCATGCTCCACACAGTTTGTGTGTGTGTGTGTGTGTGTGTGTGTGTGTGTATATATGTATACACACACACACACACACAGGCATGTATACACACACGCGTCAGAGCCCTCTTAATTTGGATATCAAGAAGTCTAAAAAAGTGAGTGTATTGAACACAAATACAATAATAGAAATATGAACAAAAATATCTTTTTCATATTTAGTAAAAAATGTTTCACCTCTTAACCACTTGGCACTGACCAAGTATGTCCCAATTATACTGAATTTTCATAACAACTTCCCTAGTGAAGTAACAATCATAGTCCACCCTGAGGGGATGCCTATCATATACATAGCTGAATGTTATCTCGAGCAGCAAAATGTTCAGTGACCATTTGTGTAGGTGATTGCACACTGGAAAGGACAGACATTTGCAGATTTGCTGTTGGGGCACTCAGAGATGGCATTTTTTCTGGGGGGCTAAACAGTTTGCATGAGAGCCGTCTCAAATATTATGATCAGATATGAAACATATAAAGAGTTGGTTTAAATCTTATCTACACAAGAAAATTAATCCAATATAGGGTAAAATATGAATTTAAAGTAGATTAACTATTTCTGATAAACTCCTTGTGAATTAAGCTAATTTGGAATAAGGTACTCTCTCATTCATAATAAGATGGTAAACACATTGGCTGTGTCTACACTGCATCCCTTTTCCAGAAAAGGGATGCAGATTAGACAAGTCGGAATTGCAAATGCAGCGGGGATTTACATTTTCCCCGCTGCATTTGCATGAACATGGCTGCCGCTTTTTTCCGGCTCGGGGCTTTGCCGGAGAAAAGCGCCAGTCTAGACGGGGATCTTTCGGAAAATAAAGCCTTTTCCGAAAGGTCCCTTATTCCTCTTAAAAATCAGGAATAAGGGACCTTTCGGAAAAGGCTTTATTTTCCGAAAGATCCCCATCTAGACTGGCGCTTTTTTCCGGAAAAGCCCCGAGCCGGAAAAAAGCGGCAGCCATGTTCATGCAAATGCAGCGGGGAAAATGTAAATCCCCGCTGCATTTGCAATTCTGACTTGTCTAATCTGCATCCCTTTTCCGGAAAAGGGGTGCAGTGTAGACACAGCCATTGAGTTAATCAAGAATATGGATGTGAACTAATCAATTATTCAATAAGCAAATGCTTATCAGATAGTCAACACACTAGTCGACTAATTGCTTCCCCCCCTACCTTGTTGCCTCTTATCAACACAGCGCTGCTGCTTTGAAATGCTGCATGTAGCCTGGGGTTCAAAGGGGAACTGCTTGAGTCCCTCGCTGGCCCCGTGCCTGCAGCACTTTTGCTTTTGAGGTGTACACTTCAAAGGCGAAGGTGCCCTTATCAACTAATCGAATAACTGATGCAAATTGCATTGACTACTCGATTAGTCAATTAATCAAAATTTATCATCCCTAATCAAGAACAGTTTATCAGGACTAGATATTCTGAAATAACTCCTGGTGTAGAGAAGCCCTCAGATAAACAACATCCACTTTGTATTGTAATTTACGAACACCCTAATCTAATCCATGAATTAGCTGTGTTTCTTACGGTGCATAAAAATGATTTTAAAAAATATAGTAATTTAACAAATGGAATAATTTTGCATGGGAGTTTCTGTGGATATAAGCTTCATTTTCTAGCTCGAGTTTTGGAATGACAGGCAATAAGATGTCCAGAACCATTCCTCCCATCCGGGCAATTTTCTAAATAACTACAAAAGGTTTATACAGCTTTTCCACTTACAGTAGCATGTTAATAGATCTTTTATTAGTTACCATGTGCAATTAATCCCTGGCATAAGCAGATAAAGCTCTATTGAGTTCGCCCCCTATTTACACTACCAATTAAGGCCCTATTACTTTTACTAGACTAATTTATTTTTCCACGCAATTCATTTATTTTATCCCTCCTAATTCCTTTCCCCTCCATTTTTTTACCTGTTCTTGAATTTTGATTTCTTGATAATCTCTGCAGCTGGTGGGAGCAGAGGATGTTCCTGAGAGACAAGTAAATTTACATGAATTGCAGCCTTCTTCATTAGGGCAAGCTGATGGACGGAAGAAAGTATAGTACTGATCAAAATCAGCTTTGACCACAAACACGTGCTTGCACTTGTTACACATGTAATCCCGTTCAAACTCCAGGACTTTCACTAGACTAGTACGAATAACAGTCCCAGTAACGGACAAAAAGTGACCCACATCTCTGGTTTTAGGGATACGTTCTCTGGTTAGTTCAGGACAAACGGGCAAACCTGTGAAATGAAAAGACATACATTATCAAGACCACAAGTCTAAGCTTTTAAACATGTGGTGTACATGTGTCCTTGAGTAGATTTTAGTACATTAGTAATAACATCATAGGGTCAACTTTATATAAATGCTTTGATACTGAGCACACGCTGGTGTTTAGGCTAATGGTAATTAAGCAAAAACTCCATCACCCTTGAAGAGATTTGCATTGAAAGAAAATCCTGTGCATTCATATTTGCATAATGCAAACCTTCAGCTAGACAAGTTTATCTTTCAATTCTCACTTAATAAGAGGGTATCCGTGCAGCTGAGTGTAGCTTCTCTCACCCCCCCAACTGACTCTAAACTGCGCATATGCCAAGGTTGCTCTCACCTCTTCCCCACCCGAGGGAGAAAGAAACTTTCATCCAGTTTTGGATTCCTAGATGTCCTTTTCCTATTCAAGAACATTTATTTCTTTGGTTAAAAGAGAGACTATATTCTTCACTGTGTTCAGGGCTGTTCCCCCTACTCCTTCCATACAGGAAGGCGCCCTACCAACCCACTTTGGAAGAATGAAGAGAAACTCCACACATCAAAAAGATTCTAGTCTCTTTTGCCCATTTAATGAAAGATAGCATCCTCAGGAAATTAAACTACAAGAACATTTACTCCTTTTTATTCCTGGAGCAATCGTCAGCCTCTCTGTTGATATTGATTCCTAGAGCTTCCACTACTTCTTGTAACACTATGAGTGAAAAAAATATATGCTTAAGATGCTAATTATAAAGCAAAGAGGTGTGCAATTGCAATCATAATATTGGTTTAGAAAAAGCTTTAAACACAGGGGCTATGTCTACACTACAGGATAAAGTCAAATTAAGATAGGCAACTTCAGCTATGTTAATTGCTTAGCTGAAGTCAAACACCTTAACTCGACTTTTGGCACTGTCCAGACTGCAGGAAGTCAAAGTTTGACTTCCCTTACTTCTCATGGAAGCAGGACTACCAGCATCGACCGAAGCACCCATCTAAGTTCAAATTACCGTGTCCTAGAACCCAGCTAATTAGAACCCAGGAAGATCAAGAGCAGCAGCTGATCTTCTCTGTAGTGTAGACAAGGGAGATTACCTTGAACTGGTAAGAAAGAGAAGGTCATGTGTCTCTTTTATATCACAAAATTAATGGCTGCCTAAAGTCTGCATGAATTATAATGTGTGGCAAAGTGTTTTATTTTTTGCTTGTAGAAGTCACTAAATAGGCTTATGAAAGACAGAGTGACAAATCACATCATATTCCTGAATGTAAACACAATTATAATAACTTTTTGAAACAAGGTTTATTGGGGGAAACACCAGATATTGTATATTATAACCTTTTCTTCTAGCTCGACACTAGGGAATTTGCATGGACTATTCAATTAGTCTTCAATTGCCTTTGAAGTGTAGCAACAGTCCTGGAGGCTTCAAAGGCAAAAGAGCTGTGGGGAGCATGGGGTCAACTGGTAACTCTAAATCCCCAGCTGACCCCAGGCTCCATGCGGCGTGGCTGCTTTGAAACACCATGGGGAGCCTGGCGTCAGGCTCCATGTGGCATTTCAAAGCAGCAGCGCCACATGGAGCCCAGGCTCAGTGGGGATTCTTTGTGGCGCTGCTGCTTTGAAACGTCGCATGCAGCCCGGGACTAGCTGGAAACTCTCCAGCTGGCCCTGGCCTGCATGCGGTGTTTCAAAGTGGCAGTGCTGTGTGAATCTGGCCCAGGGCTCCATGCAGTGCTGTCGCTTTGAACCACCCCCTCCACTCCATCCGCACTTGCTGCCTCTTTCTGATAGAGGCAGCAAGAGAGGGGAAGCGACTAGTGCGTTGACTATCCGATAAGTATTTGCAAATGTTTATTGAATAGTCAACTAGTCGTTCACATCCCTATTCAACACTACTAAAAGTTTAAGTAAACATTTACCATCAAAATCTAAGCACATAGGTCTATATAACAATTTTTTAATTACTAAACCTTAACTCTGTCTAATACTACTAACATCACATAAATACTTCAGCAATTTGTTATTAACCAAGGAAAAAACCCGACATGATGGATTGTAGTACTGTATATTTATATCACAGTTATAACTTCCTGGAAACTTGCATAAAATGTCAGGCTTGATACCATTCTGTGTACTGGGGAACGGAGCTCCTTACCTCAAAGGCCAGGAGTTCTCCATGCACGATACTAATATTTTAGTAAATTTTGGGAAAAGCTGCAATCATACTTAGCCAACCCAAGAAACCACTAACTCCTGGCTTCTAGTGGTAACCAAATTCAAGTAATCATGCATGGCATTTATTTCTCTATATCAACACCTTGGATTCCCACCTGTACTACAAAAATCAATAGTGTCAGGAGTTAAAATACAAATTATTACCACATTCATTAAAATACAACTCTATCTAGAAAGACATATTAGTCCCAATCATTATTTAATCATATTCCCAAATACTACTAAAGTTCCTGGCAAATAATCATGGAAGATTTAGGTACTATAATGCTTAGCATTTCATTACTCAGCTGCCCAGTGAAATTCAGAAATTTATACAATATATGGCTACACTTAGGCCCCTAACAATGGGATACACAAAAGCCAACACACTGATCAAGCAGCCACCTAAGCTAAACAGTCGGAAATGCTGAGGAGAGAGTTGTGGCCTCAACTGCACCCCTTAAAGGGAATTAGGTGATTAATTCTTGGCCAAAAGGAAGCATCTATCTTTGTTTGGGACCCACAGCTGTGAACCCTGTACTGGAAATAGCCACATATGCCTTTTTTTCCAGGAAAAACTGAGGAGGAGGAAGTAGTGCTGATATACCCTTACGATCTTTGGCCCATTGGTTATGGCACTCACCCAGGATGTGTGCATTTAGGTTCAACTCCCTGCTCTGCCTGATGGGGACTGGAACCCTAGGTCTTCAATCTCCCCAATACCTAACCAGTGATCTTTAGGGACTTGAGGTGCCCTACAGGGTTAGGCAGCACCCAAGTCCCTTCTGAATCCTACCCATCTACAAAACATTAGTCCACAGCATCATGTGGAATCACATACCCCAATAACTCACCTGATATTCTGGCATGAAGATTCTGCTTAATGCTAAGATCATGAGTCTGAGAAGCAGACTGCAGAGCTGTCATGGCTGCCCTGCGCAATGCGTTATCAAAAATAGGAAGCACTTCATTTGGAAATGCATTGAAATATTCTCCAATTTCCATATTGGTCTCAAAAAGGGTGAGGGCATCAACAATGACTGGGTAATGTCTCTCGTCATCTTTTTCCCTTAAGATATGTATGATGTCATTCTTGTGATGCTCCAAAATATAGGATTCAAACACTTGTCCAATTAGGTTTACTTGGTCAGCATTTAATAGCATATTGCATCTATAACTGTAAAAGGGAAAAAATTAAACATTCCAAAAAACCTAAAAAATCCATTTTTAAAAGAATATTTTGTTAGGTCACAAGTGAATAATGTAAACTAGTGTATGCTAAGTACTATATATCCCATGATCAGAAATGTATTAAAATGGGATAAAGATACTTTGTAAAGTGCTTTGAAATTTATGAAAGAAAACTACCATATGCCAAGCATGCACATTAACTTTAATAGTCTTATTTCACACACCTTATTCAGTGAAAACTCTCATTGACATGCAAGAAAATTTAAGATATATCAGTTTCTTTTAAGTACCTCTCACTAGCCATTAGATTTTTTACACACGCAACAATATACTTTGATTGCAAAAGGACTATTCACATTCATAAAGTTAGTTAAGCATGTGCTTGTTTGTAGGATAGAGCTCTTCAGGGCTGCAATGGCTTTCCTATATTATGTAGAGAGTGCCTAACACATTCTGGGTGCTACTGGAATATGCATAATAATAAACTATAATTACATAAGCAGCTAGTTTTAGCAGCAACTTGCCGAGAAGCAGGAACCCTCTCTTGCTTAAATGTACCATCTTTGCAGTTTTGAGCTTGGAATATTTTCCTTTGAGTCAGTGTCAATGGAACACATACCAGAGAATTTGTGTTTGCTTGAGCATAAATAACTTTAGGCAACAAACTAACAACTAAGCAAAAAAAAATGTTTTGTGTGTGAAGAGCAGGTGCTCTGTGATTCCCGTGATGTTCCTATTTCTAAATTTCTCAAATAATAACTATATATGTAACCTAAATATGTTCTTTGATTGGCAGAGTGTAAGTGCTGTCTTTCACTCAGCATGACAGTATTTTTCTGTCAATGTGTAAAATCATAACTTTTGAATGCCACATCCAATCAGAATGGGGGGAAGAAGGGGTGCATACCAAGCCTCGGCTATGGGAGAAGGAATGAAGGAGACCAGGCATGGGAGGGAATACAAAGCCCCTGACAGGGGAAAAGAGCAAATGGGGGAGGAGGAATGGAGGGACACTAAGATCCTGGCACAGAGGAGGAATGGGAAAAAAGAAACAGGGGGCACATAGAGCCCTGAGGGAGGCATGAAGGGGCACACAGCCAGTCCATGGCATGGGGGCATGGCACACATGGAGCTTTGAGGGTGGGGGAAAGAAACGAAGGGTCATAAGGAACCCCTGGTATGTGCAATGAACGCAGCCTACAGCAGCTACAAAGCGGCAACCCCCTCTTCCCGCCACTTGGAGTCAGGCGCCCCAGCCCACTCAGGCATGCCCTGCTGGGACTATTTTCATGAGGGAAACCTACACGAAGGTGAGGAAGAAGCGAAGTAACCTCATGTCCCTCCCCCCAAACGCCGTCAAAGGGCCGGGCCTGGCTCTGTGGCTGCGCAGCGCACTGCGGTCGCGCAACCCCCCTCCCCCAAGCGACAGAGGCGCCCGAGGAGGAGCGAGACCGGAGCAGCCTCAGCCCCGCGGGCCAGGGGGCA